GATTTTTCTATCGATTTAAAAAAAAGATAAAGTAAAAAGGATGTTCATTTAATGGAAAATGTTAAAAACCAATAACAGGCAGCTTAAACCATTTATCATATTCTTCATATTCTTTAATGTTAAATTGTGCTGCTTTAATGTCACATTGTGCATTATCAATGAAGAAAAAAAAACACTTTAAAATAAACCGGTGTTAAATATGATATGAAAACATGTTACTACGTTCATGTTAATGTGTTACTAAAATGATGAATTAACATCTGAAAACCTAATAAATTGCAACTGAAAAGTGCGGTGCATTGTGCTGTTTGACAACTTATGACGACCGCTTCGATAAAAGTTAAAATCTAAAATAACAGAATAATATATCATCCAGCCATTTTCTTCTGCATATCTGAAGTCAGGTTGGTTTATAATACAGCTCTGTATCACTTTTAAGATAAAAGTCTAGATGTTAAGTCTTTTTACACTCTCTCAGATGAGAGATAAGCCAGGTCCACTTCAATCCTTTTCAATCCCACCTCTCTCGACAGTACCTTGTATGTAACTGTTGATTTTCTCTATGCAATATTGGACCAGTGTAAAGAAAATTATATCCAGAGCGAGAACTGAAGAAATTATTCATATTGCATTTTATTAACAAAGAAGTAGAAATTTGTGATTTACTTTTTTGGGCATAGAATTTTATTTTACAAATTTTCACTTGTCTTAGTATACCTGACAGAACAACTGCACTGAAAGTTGATTTAAGATACACAAAACAATCAATATAAAGTTGTATTAACTTATTTGTTCCTCCCTGATTTATTTTGGTGTAATACATTTACCTGTTTCATAAAATGTAAATAGAGCCTAAGTAAATGTAAAATGTATTTTATTTTTCTTTTACAACTCTTTTGTAATTAAGTAAAATTAAAAGAAACGGGCCCACACCTGGGGGGGCTTGATATGTTCCAAGAGAATGAGACACAGACACTAATATGTGTTTCCACCGTCATGCACACATATACAAAGACTCACGCACTCACCCAACATGGAGACACACAAAAATGAACGTGGTACACTAAGACCCCATGCCTCACTCCGCCCACCCATATGTGGTGTTGATGCATGCTGTTCTAAAATGCATTTTAAGCAGGCGAGTAGCATGGTGCCAAAAACCTTCTGCCAGACAACACTTGGTGTCAGCACGGCCCCTCCCTAGAACACATATTGTCTACATATATTTAAAAATGAGAGGTGGGCACCAGCACCAGAGGTGAGGCTGAATAAACAGACCGTCCTCTGGACGCCCTTCAGTGTGCCAAACCCCCGAGGCCCAATATGAATATGTAATGACAGTGTAAGTAATACAAATGTCTAAGTTGTGGAATAAAACTGAGGCGCAGGTGGCCAGGAGGGGACAGAGGAGGAATGTCTCCCCTGCACCTCAGTAACACACCTGTGCCTCAATGGAGGATCCAAGGAAGGAGGGAGGCAACTGGGAATGGGGAGGGGGGGGGGATCTACCAAGGGCAGGGGCCCCAGGCCCAACCACACCCACCCCAACATTCAGTCATACACTGCATAGGACAATAGACACTGAGGCTGAGTTCATCCTCCACCTCTGCTACATCTTCTCCACCTGCAGAGTGGACTCCTCAAGAGCAGAGGCCACCAGCAAAAGATGGTAAAAACCTTGATTCATTAACCTGTATAGAGCACTCTATGTTGTATTTTGTATTGTATTAATTGTAGACATTGGGATGTCATTTCATGTTATTTCTAATCTATTTAAAATCTTTTAAACATATCTGAGACCAGAGACTTTGGTCTAAGCTGACTGACAAATCTGCCTCCCATTTTGCAATAGGAGGGCATATTGATTCATCTATTTTGATGTGAGAGTGTCCAGTATATTTTAGACAACTGACCATCATCTTTGTAACAATGGTATAAGATTCAGAATTCGGAGTGTAAACTGGAATCATGCATTCAGTGGGTTAAGGGATTGGAGACTACAGGGACTGTGGGATTTGACTCCACTCTGGAAATCAAGAAGAAAAAGCCACAGGATGCTGGAGAAGGAAGAATATTGCAACGAGTGCAGGGAGAAGTTGAAATAGGTTCTGGGTGATAGGGAAGAGTTACCAAATGACTGGGAAAGTAAGGCTGAAGTGCTGAGGGGAACTGCCAAGATGATAAGTATGTTAAGAACCTACACATTGGACGCATAGACAAATGCTTTGTCACATGTTCATTCAACGTAGTCAGTAGACATTTGAATAGAATCTTGGTACAAGTAGAAGTTCAGCCCTACATCAGTTAAGTAGAATGTTGTTCCTGGCTGTTATGGACCCACCAGTTACTATAATACCATCTGGGACCACAGCTATCGAGGAGAATGTTCACCTGTGGATTTACTGTCAGTCATGTTGTTGAGATCAGGTTTCTGTGAGACTTGGACGATCTGTTGCTCTTCTTCTTTTTGTACGTGAAAACAACAAGCCGAGCTGGATTCTACAGAGTCTCCAAACCCCTCTCCACCCCTCTGTAACAGTGTTGTCATTTAATGCAATTTGTTTTATACTTTATGGGGCTATTATATGCTGAATGTGTATTTTTACAATATCAGGTCTACTTATAAGACATTTCAATTGATGCCCTACATCTTAACCCTCTCAAGGCAGGCGTTGCCGATTTGCAACAGTTAAAAACTAACAACCCGATTACCCCACATACATATTTTTTTTTGTTTTTTTTGTTTTTTTTTACTCAGAAGTACGACTGCAGGACTTGGTTGTGCATTAGCAACAACAAAGTTTAATTTGAGCCTGAGAGGGTTAAACAATAATTCCAGAAAATGAGTTTGAGCTGTACTACATCAAAGAAAAACACAGCACAAAGGACGTGTTAACGAATGATCAGCTCACACTGACAAGCTTGTCACGGTCAACTAACCCCGAAACAGCCTTAACACAGACTCTGCAACCCCCTAATATTACTAATCTGATTAGGCAGCTGAGAGATTTCTTTTCCAACCCCTCAGTCTCTCGTGTGTGAGGTTTCAGTCAGACATGTCACTTGGTCATGCTTTGATGTCTGTTTCAAAAAGCTAACACGGTGAATATGCTCAGTGTAAAGCTCCACAACGGGACTTTGCCAACTAGTTGATGTCACGATGGCCAAAACCATATTTAAACATTTTTTCTTTATTGTTTGTCAGCTGTAATCCACAGACATATCGTCACACTGAGAAAAACCCACCTGTATTAACATGCTTCATTCCATTTTCATCCAAATCAATAAAGGTCTGACTTCTGGATCCTTGTGAACAACTCTTCTTCCAAGTCTTCCTCTCTTTTCATTTTGGGAATTGAGATAATCTTTAAAATTGCAGGTTAATTTCTGGGGTCATCTAGAAGACAAGGATGCAAAAAATGAAGGAATCCTTCAGACAATCTTTCTGTCTTTCTGTGTTTATGACTTCAACACAAGAGAAACATCAAATCAGTGATTAGGCTGAGCAGAGGGATCGGCACATTTTACTTTCTTTCTCATTTGCATCTACATTCACACTCTTGCAGCAGAACATGCTAAACTTGCGTAACACAAGGTGACATTTTCCGCTTCTCTAGTTTATAGCATGACTGACATCCTCCATTCTGTATTTCCCAGGGGTCTGGACATACTAAGAAAGAAAGGAAGGAGCTTTACTTTGGATCTGCCAATAGACTCAGTTAGCCTGAGCCTCCAGGATCTAATAGGTTATTTCCAACCGCCTGGAGATCACCTAGAACATGAAGACAAACAGAACCGACTGCGAGCTCTGAAGAACCGTCAGAACCTCTTTCAGGAAGAGGTAGGGTGCACTTGGACATATGTGTGTTTACAAACTAACTTCAGATCATTTTTAACAGTTTTTGCTTCCAATTTTAAAGATTTAGTCTAATATATTTAGATATTCTGCCTCAGTACATACATACAGTACATCCACCCCCAGTGAATTTTGTAGTGGTTTATTTCTAATGATGGAACATGTTGGAATATTTAATGTCTAAAATGTTATTTTAAGAAGAAAAAGAAAAGATGAATCAATTACTTTACTGTATACACGAATTGTTTTCTTTTAATGACACAATCCATGTCTGTGAAACTGTTGCTCAAAGAACTGCCAATTATATCATGTTTGCTTTCACATTGTGTCCATAGTGGCTGAAAATATTCACAGTGGCCCAAACCATTTCTCTACTAACTTGTAAACATGCGTTTTGCTCCTGTTTACTTGGAGAGAAATTGACACACTTCGAGCTTCCAGTGGCCATTAGAGGAAATGCAGTTTTTTTTGGCACGTCTGTGTTTTTCAACTCAGATATTAGCTTGGTCACATTATCTATATCCAAATCCATAGAATGATTTAACGGCATTCAATTTGCTTTTATTTCCTAACTTTTCTGTGACTACACTCTGTTTTGTAGAGCTCATTTCAGGTGAATAAAGTAAAAACAACAGTTTTCATATTTCTAGGGGATGATCAGCCTGGTCTTGGAGTGCATTGATCGGCTTCATGTCTACAGTAGTGCAGCTCATTTTGCGGAGGCAGTTGGAAAGGAGGCTGGAGAGGCCTGGAGCGCCATCCTCAACTCCCTCTACCAGCTACTGGGTAAACAAGCGCACAGACAGAAGCACAGAAAAGATGCAATAACTCAAATTGTAATTCCACTCACCTAAAACTACATATTAGACCTGAAGACAATCAGGTTATTTTAAGAGATGACAAATGCTCAGAGATTCATTCAGAAAGGGATCAGAGGACAGAGACAGGTGACATGTGGGCTCAGTAAGAGTTTTCTATGTTACTGTTGTTACACCTCTTGATATCATGTCACTTCTCTCAACTTATTTTCATCTTTCTAGCTGCACTCATCAGAGGGAACAGGAAGAACTGTGCCCAGTTCTCTGGTTCACTGGACTGGCTCATTAGCAGACTGGAGCGACTGGAGGCTTGCTCTGGTAGGTTAGCTTGTCTTTTACATGGTATAATATATTTTATGATTATGTAAAAGAGGTGCTGAAGTCAAAGTACACATTCTCAGAAATGCCTTGGTTACATACAAATGGATGTTACGTAGAAAAAGCAGTTGACATCAGATGACAAGTCAATTTAATCACCTCGTAAAAGGCTTCAGCTAATTTAACAAGAAGCCACCTTTTCAGCTGTTAGAAACATGACTGTGCCTTAAGCTTCCAAGTTTATATTACTGAATCAGCAATATGACAGTGGGAACCAACTGAAATTCTGAGCAATGAGGGGTTTTCTCTTAGTCGGATCATGGATGAACTGAAGGTTTATATGAGCACAGTGCACTGTGGAAACTGGGTAAGTTGGATTCAGGCTTTGCTCACCAAAACACAATAAAGCTGCTTTAAACATAAAAAGGATCCAGAATTTAATAAACAAAGAACACAAGAGTCAGCAGAGTTTGTTGCTGTGTTCTCACAGACAAACTGTTGGAGTTGGTTGAGGTAAACCCACAAGTGAACGGTGGAAAAACATGCTGATGAATTACACTGACTACAGTTAAATGTTGGTGTCGTTTACAGATAAATAAATAATAGGAAACGAACAGGACAGAGTCGAATTTATTTATTTAGCACATTTAAAACAACGGCTGTTCACCAAAGTGCTGTATGTCTAAAATAATCAAATGAGATAACAACAGAGGAAAAGATGTCATAATTTAAGAAAGTAAGAATGAAATGAGCATGAGTACAGAACTCATTCTGATTTAAAAGCCAGAGAATAAAAGTGGCTTTTCAAACAGATGAGTCAGCAACAGGAGGGACAATATGAGACCTGAAGTCTGTGATCCTATTGCTGAAGACTTGCCTGCAATGCTATAAGAGGAGCAGCAGTAGGAGAATTAAGAACAGAGTTAATCACAGTAAGTACAGTACGAGTCTGTGACAGTTGTTAGCCACGATCTTAGAGAAACACTTCTTTTTGCTGCTCTTACAGTCTTCTGATAATTTAACAAAGATTCAAAGTTATCAAAAGACACATGAAATGTATCCTTTTTCCATGTTCGGTCAGTTTTTCTACACACGTGTCTGAGTCCTCTGGTGGCATTATTGAACCAAGGCTTAGTTTTATGTTTTTGACTCCTGGTTGTGAGTTGAGCAATGAAATCAAGGATCTCTAAGGAGGTTGAATTAAACAGAGAAAGTAAGTCGTCAAGTGGATGGACCTATCGAAAAGTAAGGCGTGACTACAGGGTTTTTTTGTTCTTGTCCAATCAGAACTGTCGTGAGAAGACCAAAATGCCCAACAGATTTACTTTCCCAAGTGGACCGCTTGCCATAATGGTCTACCTGGTAGTCATATTTTATTAGAACTTTATTAGGATTTTTGAGTTATTACAATTACAATGGACAAAACTGGGGGATGGAAAAGAAAAAGAGGAAAAAAAGAGAAGTTGAGCACAAAGTTCACAGAAGGAGAGGGAAAGAAAAATAGAGAAGCAGATGGAGAGAGAGCAAAAACAGTGAAAATCTGCTGAAGAAAAACAACAAAACCACAGCAGAGAAACCACGGCAACGACCAGCATATGGGATAGTCTACCTAGTACTCACATTCTGAGGATTTAGAGTCTACCTGTGACACTGTCTTTACCTTACAGTGTAACCTGCTTTGTGATGACTTGTAACAAACCACAGGTAGAAGGAACCTGGAAACAGTCAAAGGGCAGGCAAGAGAAAAGACTATAAACAGGATGATGATGTCCAACATGAACCAGCAGGTTTAACAAATCATACATTCAAAAGGGAAGAAAGTGAAGACGGAGAGAAATACACCAGAATCGACGATTACAAAATACAAAAAGGCATTAACTACTCTGTTGTTATGATCTGGCAATACATCGATAAAAATGTACAGAAATCAGTTGCAAATTAATCGAGCAATATTTAAATAACTTAAAAAAGAAATATTTAAAAAGCACTTTTAACATTTTATTTATTTTCTCTATTTGCTCTAGTTGCATTTGTAATTCAATCTTTTAGTGGTGTCCTGTATGTTTTAGAAGTTGTGGCGAGAATAAGGCACGGCGGGACCACAGCGTATCATTCAGAGCCATCTTTATTTACATCTCACCACAACACATTCCCAAACCTCTGAGTCCCCGTGTTTTTAACTAGGCGGGCGTGATTAAGGATGCCGTGCAGGTGCGTCGGCCCTCCCTGCACGGCACCGCAGACCACGCCCCACCACAGAAGTATTTCCACTTTGACAGATAAAATTTACATCATTATTTTACATATCTAACGACAGTAAGATGTAGAGCTGAGTGATGAGTAAGCTAGTTGCCTCTGCTCTTAGCTTTGGGACCTGTACAGCCATTATCGGTTCTCCAAACTTTGACAGTAAAACCGACTCTTAGCTTTTTGTGAACTGTGGTTTTGAATCAAGTTATCGTCACACTGCACCTTATTTTTCAATTACAGGTATATTGGAGGTGCTTCACTGTGTACTGGTGGAGAGTCCTGAAGCACTTAACATAATCAAAGAGGAACATATCAAGTCTATCATATCTCTGTTGGACAAACATGGTCGGAACCACAAGGTACGGGCACTTACTTACCCACAAACATAAACTGGTGATGATAGTATATTTTAAAGCCTAGTTATCCCTGGTACACTTGCATCATTTTTTATAGGTAGAAAGGCTGTTCTTTTTTTCTTTTCTTTTTTTTGCCTGTCCCGTTTGGCTCTTTTGCATCAGAATTGTTGTCTAAAGGCAAAGAAAGATGCCCAACGGATTTACTTTACCAAACTGACCATCCCAGCCTTGCCGTAATGGTCCATTTGATTCACCTTTTATTGTTTATTTTAATTTCACTTACTGAATACAGGACAGACTTGACTGGGGGAAAGAAGGGGCGAAAGAAAGAGGGAAAGAGAAACAGCTGAGAAGAGGGACGGGGGAGAAGGGCAAAAGACAAAAACCAACAGAACGGGCAGAGAAAAAAAATGCATATATCAATCACCTGGATCACCTGCTGAGAAAGAAAAAAGAAAACAAGCAGAAGAGAACAAGAGTAATAGAATAAACAACATCACAATGATATATGGGAATATGACAGTAAATACTAAATATTAAACATTAAGAAAGGCTGTTCTTTGGATAGCTTGCCTTGGTTATTCTGTTGATTTAGATTCTGTCGGTATGTGTTGTTTCTTTATTTGACTCCATGATGTTGAAAACAGGACTCTGTGAGGTCAGACCCTCTGTTGCAGGACGACTTCTCCTTATTACGTCTGGCGAGATAGGTTTTATGACTCTGCCTTGTTATTTCACCCTTTTTTCATGCTGAAGCATGGATGTAGTACCAATCACATTAAAGTCTGAACATCTATACATGGTGTTTAAAACAAGCAATCTAATATTTTTTTAGGTCCATCTTAAGCTCATTAAAAGCTCTTACTTAACATACATCCTGCTAACACACTCAATATGTTAGCAGCAGATCCTTTCACTCAGTACTTTGTTGTAAGGCCTCCATGGATCTAACTTGTTGCAGTGTATCGCACCGAAGATCCACACCCTGGACCTTTTGTTGTGTTGAAATCATTTAGTATCAAGGAGCATTATCCTGATGGGAAAAGTTATTGCCATCAGGGAATACTGTTACCATTAAGGACCAAAAGTTTCTTGTGTCATCACACTGCCTGTGCCAGCTTGCAGTGTTTCCCATCATTTCTTTGAGTAACAGCTAAATGCACTTGGTTGTCACCAGATGTCAAAGAAAACCAGGCCACCTTTTCCCACTGCTCCATGGTACAGTCCTGATACTCATGTGTTCATTGTAGTAGGTTTCAGTCAGAAATACAGACTGAACGGACGCTCTGAGTCCTCTGTGGTGTCTCCAGCCACCACTGACCTTTTCAGCAGTTCAGTATAGATGTCACTACCTGTTTACTTGTGTCTCTTTATATCGTAGAGACAATAACATCTTATCCGTCTTGTTTATAAATACCGTTTAGGTTCTAGACGTGCTGTGTTCACTGTGTGTGTGTCACGGCGTGGCAGTGCGCTCTAACCAGCACCTGATCTGTGACAACCTGCTGCCAGGAAGAGATTTATTACTGCAGACCCGCCTGATCAACCACATAAGCAGGTAAACAAATACAAACATTTGCAATGGTCGGATTGTGGAATCCCATGTCAGTAATGGATTTACCTACTCACTGACATTCATTCACTCCAACAGCATGCGACCCAACATCTTTTTGGGCGTCAGTGAGGGCTCTGCCCAGTACAGGAAGTGGTACTACGAGCTGATTGTGGATCAGGTTTTGCCATTTGTCACAGCAGAGGCCACTCACCTCAGGGTGGGTTGGGGCAACACCAATGGCTATGCACCGTACCCCAGTGGAGGAGAGGGGTGGGGAGGCAACGGGGTGGGTGATGACCTCTATTCCTATGGCTTTGATGGACTCCATCTTTGGTCAGGTGAGCTGTGTGTGTCCAGTGTGATTTTGATTACTAACTCACTGATAATGAAAGTCTGTGCAGAATCATTTTTACCCCTCAGCCCTAGAATGAGGTAATGTAGGAGCTTTAAATTAATACCATAGTTGTATCTACTCAGTAACCTCAACCTAAAGGTCAAAATACTGTGAATACAATAACTCGTGATGGAAGTCACCTAGGATTTTCAAATTGGAGGATGGCAGGACCTCCTAGAATCTCACTGATCTCAACTAATGTTTTCTGAAAATCTTGTGAATGTGATATCTCGAGAATAAGCAAGATTTTGAAATTAATACCATAGGTGTGTCTAACAGGAGACTGAAGGGTGGCACTGGCAGTTGCCAGTATGTTTTCCCATTGAAATGTGAGACTACTGAATGTGGACTATAGTGGTCACAATCTTTAGGTGTGAGAGTGCTGTGCTGCCTCAAGAACTGAGCAGCTTACAGCTGTTAATTCAGCTATTAATTTAACATCATATCAGAAAGCACCAATACGGTGTACATTTTAATAATAATAATGGATTTATATAGCGCTTTTCAAGGCACCCAAAGCGCTTTACAATACCACTATTCATTCACTCTCACATTCACACACTGGTG